GAAGGGTAATTAAACTGCCTCTCTGTATCAGTCTGTTCTCACACTGCTAATAAAGACATACTTGAGACTGGGTATTTATAAAGGAAAGAGATTGAATTGACTCACAGTTCTACATGGCTGAGGTGGCATCACAGTCATGGTGGAAGATGAAGGAAGAGCCAAGTCACATATTACATGGCAGGAGGGAAGAGAGCTTGTGCAGGGGAATGCCCCTTTATGAAACCATCAGATCTCATGAGACTTATTCACTATAATGAGAATAGCACAGGAAAGACTTGCCCTCATGAGTCAATTACCTGCCACTGGATCCCTTCCATGACATATGGGAATTATGGGAGCAACAACTCAAGATGAGCTTTGGGTGGAGACACAACCAAACTATATCATTCCACCCCTGGCTCCTTGCAAATCACATGTCCTCACATTTCAAAACCAATCACGCCTTCCCAACAGTCCCCCAAAGTCTTAACTCATTTCAGCATTAACTCAAAAGTCCACAGTCCAAAGTCTCATCTGAGCTAAGGCAAGTCTCTTCTGCCTATGAACTGTAAAATCAAAAGCAAGTTAGTTACTTCCTAAATACAAGGGAAGTACAGGCATTGGGTAAATACAGCTATTCCAAATGGGAGAAATTGGCCAAAACAAAGGGGCTACAGGCCCCATGCAAGTTCAAAATCCAGCAGGGCAGTCAAATCTTAAAGCTTCAAAATTACCTCCTTTGAGTCCCTGTCTCACATCCAGGTCATGCTTATGCAAGAGGTGGGTTCCCATAGTCTTTGGCAGCTCCACTCCTGTGACTTTGCAGGGTACAGCCCTCCTCCTGGCTGCTTTCATGGGCTGGCATTGAGTGTCTGTGGCTTTTCCAGGCACACAGTGTAAGCTGTCGGTGGATCTACCATTCTGGGATCTCGAGGACGGTGGCCCTCTTCTCACAGCTCCACTAGACAGCGCTCCAGTGGGGACATTGTGTGGGGGCTCCCACCCTACATTTCCCTTTTGCACTGCCCTAGCAGAGGTTCTCCATGAGGGCTCTGCCCGTGCAGCACACCTCTGCTTGGACATTTAGACATTTCCAAACATCCTATGGAATCTAGGCGGAGGCTCCCAAACCTCAGTTCTTGACTTCTGTGCACCCACAGGCAACACTATGTGGAAGCTGCCAAGGGTTGGGATTTACACCCTCTAAAGCCATAACCCAAGCTGTAGCCTTGCCCTTTTTAACCAAGGCTGGAGTGGCTGGGATGCAAGTCACCCCAAGTCCTGAGACTGCCCAAAGCAGCAAGGCCCTGGGTCTGGCCCATGAAACCATGTTTTCCTCTTGGACCTCCAGGCCTGTGATATGCCCTGGAGACACTTTCCCCATTTTCTTGGTGAGTAACATTCGGCTCCTCTTTCCTTATGCAAATTTCTGCAGCCAACTTCAATTTCTGTTCAGAAAATGGGTTTTTCTTTTCTATCTCATCTTCATGCTGCATATTTTCCAAACTTTTATGCTCTGCTTCCCTTTTAAACATAAGTTCCAATTCCAAACCATATATTTGTGAATACATAAAACTGAATGTTATCAGCACAAAAGTCACATCTTGAATGCTTTGCTGCTTAGAAATTTCTTCTGCCAGATGCCCTAAATCATCTCTTTCAAGTTCGAAGTTCCACAGGTCTCTAGGTCAGGGGCAAAATGCTGCCAGTCTCTTTGCTAAAGCATAACAAGGGTCACCTTTGCTTCAGTTCCAAACAAGTTCCTCATCTCCATCTGAGACCACCTCAGCCTGGACCTTATTGTCCACATCACAATCAGCAATTTGGTCAAAGCCATTCAGTGAATCTCTAGTAAGTTCTGAACTTTCCCACATCCTCCTATCTTCTTCTGAGCCCTCCAAACTGTTCCAACCTCTGCCTTTTACCCAGTTCCAAATTGCTGGGTAACAGGCAAATTGTTAAAGTGCCAAAGTGCCAATAGTGATGTCAAGGTGTATTAGTTACCAATTGCTGTGTAACAAAGTATCAGCAAAGTTAGCAGCTTAAAACAAGAAAAAATTACTATTTAACAAAGGCTGAGAGTCAAGAATGAGAAAACTGGCTTGGCTGGAGGGTTTGGCTCAGGGTGTCTCATTAGGTTACAGGAAAGGTGTCAGCCAGGGTTTCAGTCATCTAAAGGCTTGACTGGGACTGGAGGATCTGCATCTAAGATTGTGCATTCACAGACTGTTGGCAGGAAAACACAGTTTCTCACCACGTGGGCCTCTCCATAGGGCTGCTTGAATGTCCTTATCACATAGCGGCTGGCTTTGTCCAGGTGAGTGATCTAAGAGCTAGGAGGAAACTGCAATGCCTTTATGATGCTGCCATGTTCATCATGTAACATAGCACCCCACTCCCAGTACCAATTTACTATATCAGTCTGTTCTCATGCCGCTAATAAAAACACAACCAAGACTGGGTAATTTAAAAAGGAAAGGGGTTGAATTGACTCAGAGTTCCACATGGCTGGGGAGGCCTCACAATCATGGTGGAAGATGATGAAGGAAAAGCAAAGTCATGTCTTACATGATGGCAGGCAAGAGAACTTGTGTGGGGAAATTCCCCTTTATAAAACCGTCAGATCTCATGAGACTTATTCACTATCATGAGATCAACACAAGAAAGACCTGCCCCCATGATTCAATTACCTCCCACTGGGTTCCTTCCATGACACATGGGAATTATGGAAGCTGTAACTCAAGATGAATTTTGGGTGGGAACAGAGCCAAACCATATCACCTTCTTCAAGATGAAGTTTCCAAGAATGCATGGATATATTTTAAAACAGTCACACATGGTGTGTGAATTGGTGGCATTGTCCTTAGTAGTGCCAAAGTTTATTTTTCAAAAGTTCAAAACTTGATTGTCATAGAAACATATAGTGAGCATGTGTCAAAGATTTACTATTTTTCATAAGTGAGGGAATCAGCAAGATTATAAAGCTAATTATCAAAAGATAGTTCAGGGAATGGAGGTTTATACCATCAGTCAATAAATAAAGGCTGAAATAGGTTGGCTAAGTTACGTTTCTAAAGACAGCTTTATGACTTGTCAGGCAATAAAAGTGCACCCTTTGGAGTTATTTTTTCTATCAGACAGGAATAATGTGTAATTTATCAATGTTCTCTTAGTTCCCAGCTAATTTCACAGAGTCTGGGACCTAATTAGTAAGTCAGGCAAAGGGATAGGTCCAGAGAGAACTTATTGTTGGTGAGGACTGTTTGATAATGTTTTCATATGATATTGACAGTGTACACAGTCATCCTGTCATTTTATTTATTTATTTATTTATTTGTTTATTTATTTATTTATTGAGGCAGAGTCTTGCTCTGTCATCCAGGTTGGAGTACCGTGGCTTAATCTTGGCTCACTGCAACCTCCGCCACCCGGGTTCAAGCAATTCTCACACCTCAGCCTCCTGAGTAGCTTGGATTACAAATGTGCACCACCACCCCGGCTAATTTTTACATTTTCAGTAGAGGTGGGGTTTCTCCATGTTGGCCAGGCTTGTCTCATTTCATCTTATTTCAACTGTCACTTCTATTTGGTCAATTCGTAATTTAATAATTTTGTACAAGGCAGTTTCTACATTAATTTATTTTTTGAAAACTGTCTATCATATTAGTGGCATTATGAAAATCATAGATTATTTTCTGTCTTTTGAACAACTTGATATTTTATTTATTCTCAATCACCTGTAGGACCTCTTGGCTCATATGTCTGAATACCATTTCTTTAAAATGTATGCTTTAACAATAAATTATTAATAAATAGTTATCCGTGTTATTCAACATATAATTAAATTGGTTTTTTTGTGCACTGACTCTTACTTTTATTTCAGATCCATCACAGAGAGTGCATGGAGGTATTTAAACTGCGTTAACTGTTTCACAATTACATATTATCTTATCAATTAGGTATTCAGGAAAGATCACTTACAGAATTATAGATGGCATGAGCTAGATTTGACTTCCTAAGGAAATAATCAGACACATGAGCAAAGATGTTAATACAAAGATGTTTGTCACAACATGATTTTCAATAGCAAAGAAAAGAGAAAAATATATGAAAGACAAATAACAGTGGATAAATTTCAATAAATAATGTTACAGTGATACAATTAAATACTATACAGCTATTCAAGCATGTCATCATTCATATTTAATATGGAAAGATATTTTGCTATTTTGCTACATGAAAAAATGAGGTTGGAAAAAGTACAGGTTTTGTGAATCTGTTGTATGAAAGCTGTCTATAGTGACATGTGTATGTGTGGGGAGGAAAAAGTGTTGTCATTGGTTTTCTGATGATGCACTCAGAAAAGACAAGTATTCACATTTTTCATTGTGGCTGATCTGGATTTTCAGGTCTTTCTACAATGAACATGCAGGTTGAACATTCCCTAAGCAGGAGAGTCCCACCTCCAGTATCTCCTGTAGGCCTGGCAATGGCAGGCAGGAAAGACAGAGGAAGGAAGGAGGGAGAAGGGAAGGAGGGAAGGAAGGAGGGAGAAGGGAAGAAGTGAAGGAAGGAGTGAAAAAGGTAAGGAAGAAAGGGAATGAGGGAGGAAGGGAGGAAATGGGGAGGGAAAGAAGGAAAGGAAGGGAAGAGGGAGGGAGGGAGTGAATGAAAGATGGAGAGAAGGAAGAAAGGGAGAGAGGCAAGGAGGAAAGAAAGTCGTGCTTTCCTTGAGCTGCCATGGGCACTGACTCTTAGGGTCTGGAAGCTCCTGAGATGCAAAAGCCGAATGCTCACAAAGAGCTGGAAAGCCTCAAGGAAGTTCTTCAAAATTGCTGGAAGGAACTGTCTCCAGAAGCTTCCCTCCCCACGACAGATAATGAGGAGCAAGTGTGTCTGGCGACTTAGGGTGGTGTGAAATCACGCTGGGAATCCTGCCTCTCCTCAGGTCCTGGCAGTTTCAGGGCCCCTCCCTAGGCCTTACTTAAAAGGCTGAGGCATCCTTGCAGGAACAAGCAGACTCCACAGTTCCTGCCAGGAGAAAGGAACATTCTGAGGTATGCTCTGGGGCGCTGGTGGGGCCGGAGCTGTCTCCTTATCCCAGACCCAGAATCTGCTCTGTGGAAGCTGTTCACAGGCTGGGGGGGCTTGGTGCGGCTGCTTGCTCCCCAGACCCCAGCCAACTCAGCCTCTCTCTCCGTGATTTTCTGTTGTTTATTCCAAAACAGGGGAGTCTACACCCTGTGGAGCTCAAAATGGTCCTGAGTGGGGCGCTGTGCTTCCGGTGAGTGTATGAGGCCCTGGTTCGGAGGTCCTCTGGGGGAAGTGAGTTCTGGATAGACCCGTTGTCCAGTTCTGAGCAGGAGGGAGGAAGGGAGGGGCAGCCATTGCAGCGGGGAAATTGTGACCAGCACCTCACTGCTCTTAGAGAAGTTTTCCCAGCTTTTTTCAAATAGGGCCAGGACTGGGGCCAGCCATCTCACAAGGGTTCCCTGATGCTGAGGGGGACAAGTGAACCACCCAGTCTAGAGCTGCAGCCAAGTCTATCCAAGGTGGGAAAGGGAGCCAGGATCCCAGCTCAGAGCTCCGCCATTGACCCCCAGCACAGCGAATTAATGTCAGCTCACCCACTCTGTGCTCCTACTGCCCTGTTGCTCTTTGGAGATAAAAATAAAACCAAACCCATGGCCATCAGTCAGTCTGTCCACCCACTGGCATGTACCAAGCCAGACACTCTGCCGTGCTCTGGGCTTTACAACAAAGGATGAGAGTGGCCCTTTCTGTCAGTCTAATAAAGCACTTCCCACAGTGTGTTCTATGGGACTCTATTAGAGGAGGCCCATAGAGGCATCCAGGAGATGCTTTACACAGTAGAGCTCTCTGATCAAGTAAATGCAGGGAATTCTCCTTTCTACATCCTCTCATAAGAGAACCACAGTACAGCTCAGCATATGAGTGACTCTGAGACTTTCTGAAGTAAGGCAACTTGTTGAATCATATTTAGCCATGTATCGACCCAGTTTTTATACTGCCTCCTTTTCCCCCATATAACTTTTGGAGAAACCCACTTTAGGATACATCTTTCTCCTCGTAGGATGTCAGGAAATCCACTGAGTTCATAGATGAGAAACAACTTTGAAAAGTAAAATAAAAGAAATTTAAATTGAAAGAAACTCCTCACTTAGTAAGGAATATACGGCCAAATAGAAATACATGTATCTCGAAGAACTGAAGAATTAGGCTTTAATCTGGAAGAAGCTTGGGTGTTATCCAACCCATCATCTTAGTGTAGCAATGGGGAGGCTCCGGCCCAGAGTGGGCGAGAGAGTTGTCTGCTGCGACTCAGCAGCACTGGAGGCAGAGCTGGGACAAGAACCTAGGACTCTGACTCACCGTGCAGCTTTTCTTCCAATAGGAGATGGGTTGGGGCAGAAAAGGTGGAATAGGGTGAAGAAGCAAACCACAGACCCCAGTGGGAGACTGTGGGGTCATCCTCCTGGTAGGGCATGAGCCCAGCAGGGCTGGGAGAGAAGGCTGTGCTGTTACTTCTGGCACAGTAGGAAGAAAGAGAGACAAAATGCCTGAGATCAGGGTGTTCTCTGGACCGAAGGCATGCTGGAGTGTATGCCCTCCCCCTAATGTAGTCCTCACCCCTTCCTGATGTTTCAGAATGAAGGACTCGGCATTGAAGGTTCTTTATCTGCATAATAACCAGCTTCTAGCTGGAGGGCTGCATGCAGGGAAGGTCATTAAAGGTTGGTGATGAAACATGACCCACTTTCCTTGGTCTCTATACACTCTGAGGGGAGGGGACCTGAAGAGGGCTTAGAATAGTCATACAGATGAGCATAGACCTACAGGGCCCAGGCATGCGGGCAGCACAAACCAGCCTCTAAGCAAAGGCAAATAAAATACCACACCTCTCAGCAAAGTGAAGACACAGGCTCTGGGGCCACCTGAAGCTTCTATGCAGAAGTGGGAATGTTTTCCAAGTGGCTTGTCTTGTCATTCCCTTACAGGTGGATTTAGGTCAAGCATTGCATTCCCTGGGAGCCAGTACCTAGCAGAGAACTAAAGTAAACTCTCTACACCTTTTTTCCCATATGGGAGTCAGTTTCTGCCTCTCCACCCTGGGTCCCCTCTGCTCTCTGAAGATCCTCAGTCACTCAGAGTGGAGGGACCCAGAGAACAGGTGGCATTGTTGGACTTCCTGCTTGCTCACTCTGCCCCACGCACTGCAACAGGTCCCTCTCTAAAATAGTTCTCACCTGCCCACCTGGCGCACATTTGCTGAGCACAGATGCCAGGTAGATATTCAGCTAGGCCATATGTGTATGTGTGTGCTTACTGGTGTATGTACGTGTACATGGAGGCATATATGTGTAAGCATATGTGTGCATGAATGTATCTGTGCATAACCATGTATGTGTGAATGCAGGTATGAATGTGTGAGCATGTGTGTATATGTATATGTGTGCCTGCATGTATCTGTGTGTGTATCTGGGGTGTGCATATATGTGTCTGATGTATGTGGGTGGTGAGGGGATGTACAGAGAGGAATGAGACCCTCTTTTGCTCTCAGCAGCCTCACAGGGTGTAGAAAGTTGTCCAAACACCTCCAAAGGGGAGCTCATCAAGACAGGCTTCAGAAAACGGCCTGAGACCCAAGGGACCTTTTTAAAGGAGGGGGTTGCATCTATTTTGGGGTATAGAGGCTTGAAGATTTGACCCTGAACTAGAGGGTGGGGTGGAGGTGGTACAATGTGCTTCCATGCCTTGATGTCCGCTCTGGGCCAGTGGACAGGAGCGGCCATGTCATGACGGCTGCTGAGAGGCCTCCCTTCTGCCCAGCCTGGGGGCAGGCCATCTCACAGCAGTCTTGGGCCCCAGAGCCCAGGCCAGTGGCAGAAGGAGGGAAAGGCATCCAGGGCCCTGATCTGGCCTCCTTCCCACAGGTGAAGAGATCAGCGTGGTCCCCAATCGGTGGCTGGATGCCAGCCTGTCCCCCGTCATCCTGGGCGTCCAGGGTGGAAGCCAGTGCCTGTCATGTGGGGCGGGGCAGGAGCCGACTCTAACACTAGAGGTGAGCTTGGGGCATCCTCACTGGGGACTGAGCCACAGATGCTGAGCCCACTGAAGCTGGGCAGCCCACAGCCCTGGTGCTGTGGGACAGCCTGGCGGGATTCTGTTGATGGCAGCTCTGCCTCCTCCCTAAGGACCCTGGCCAGCCCTCCCTCTGCCCCTGCTTCTGCCCTCACCTGCCCTGCCCTCCTCTGCCGGCAGCCAGTGAACATCATGGAGCTCTATCTTGGTGCCAAGGAATCTAAGAGCTTCACCTTCTACCGGCGGGACATGGGGCTCACCTCCAGCTTCGAGTCGGCCGCCTACCCGGGCTGGTTCCTGTGCACGGTGCCTGAAGTTGATCAGCCTGTCAGACTCACCCAGCTTCCCGACAATGCCGGCTGGAATGCCCCCATCACAGACTTCTACTTCCAGCAGTGTGACTAGGGCAATATGCCCCCCAGAACTCCCTGGGCAGACCAGCTCGGGTGAGGGGTGAGTGGAGGAGACCCATGGCGGACGATCACTCTCTCTGCTCTCAGGACCCCCACCTCTGACTTGCTGGGCACCTGTCCACCTTCTCTTCTGGTTCCCAGTTTGGGTAAATTCTGAGATTTGGAGCTCAGTCCATGGTCCTCCCCCGCCAGATGGTGCTACTGCTGTGGAACCTTGTAAAAACCATGTGGGGGTAAACTGGGAATAACATGAAAATATTTCTATGGGGGTTGGGTGGGGGAGTGGTGGGAATCATTCCTGCTTAATGGTAACTGACCAGTGTTACCCTGAGCCCCACAGGCCAATCTGTCCCCAGTTGAGCCTTACAGGATCAGTAGCTCTCCACATGAAGTCCTGTCACTCACCATTGTGCAGGAGAGGGAGGTGGTCATAGAGTTAGGGATCCATGGCCCTCGGCCCAGCCCCACCCCCTTCCCTTTAATCCTGACACTGTCATATGCTACCTTTTCTATCTCTACCCTCATCCTCTTGCTGTGGGCCTGAGGAGGTGGTGATGTCAGAGGAAATGGCTCGAGCTCAGAAGATAAAAAATAAGCAGGGCATGCCGATCCTTTTCTAAAAACCCAAGATACAATCAAAATCCCAGATGCTGGTCTCTAGTCCCATGAAAAAGTGCTCATGACATACTGAGAAGAGCAACTTACAAAGTGGCATATATTGCAATTTATTTTAATTTAAAAATACCTATTTATATATTGCTTCATAGTAAAAAGGTCTGGAAGAGTTTACTTCAATTGTAGCAATGCCAGGGTGGTGGCAGTATAGGTGATTTTTCTTTTAATTCTTTTAATTTATCTGCATTTCCTAATTTTTCTACGATGAAGATCAACTGCTTGTATAATAACAAGAAAAGAAATTAATCTTGAGGTAACCAGAGTAGACATCATCTCTGATTGCCCTCAGCTTCCACTTCCCCAGAGTTAAATTCAAACTGAATTGAGCTCTGCTGCTCTGGTTTGTTGTAGTAGTAATCAGGAAACAGATCTCAGCAAAGCCACTGAGGAGAAGGCTGTGATGCGTTTGTGTGGCTGGAATCTCCTGGGTAAGGAACTTAGAGAACAAAAATCATCTGGTAATTCTTTCCTAGAAGGATCACAGACCCTGGGATTGCAAGGCTTGGGATCCAGTCTCTAAGAAGACTGCTGTACTGATTGAAGAGTGTCCCCTGCAAATTCACATCCTTCTTGGAATCTCGGTCTGTGAGCTTATTTGGAGATAAAGTCTCTGCAGATGCAGTTAGTTAAGACGAGGTCATGCTGGATGAAGGTAAACCTAAATTCAATATGACTGGTATCCTTGTATGAAAAGGAGAGGACACAGAGACACAGAGGAGATGCAGGGAAGAAGACTATGTAAAGACGAAGGCAGAGATCGGAGTGATGCGGCCACAAGCCAAGAAACACCAAGGATTGTGGCAACCATCAGAAGCTTGGAAGAGGCAAAGAAGAATTCTTCCTTAGAGCTTTTAGAGGGATCACGGCTCTGCTGAAACCTTAATCTCAGACTTCTAGCCTCCTGAATGAAGAAAGAATAAATTTCGACTGTTTTAAGCCACCAAGGATAGTTGGTTTTGGCAGCTCTCGAAAATGAATACAGCTGCTAAAATGATCCCTGTCTCCTCGTGTTCACATTCTGTGTGTATCCCCTCCCACAATGTACCAGAGTTGTCTTCGTGACTAATAGAATATGGCAGAAGTGATGGCCTGCCACTTCCAAGATTAGGTTATAAAAGACACTGCAGCTTCTACTTGCGCTCTCTCTCTCTGCCACCCACTGCCCCCAAGTCTATCTTGGCTCACTCGCTCTGGGGGAAGCTAGCTGCCGTGCTATGAGTAGGCCTGTAAAGAGACTTATGTGGTAAAAAATGAAGTCTCCTGCCCACAGCCACATGAGTGAACCTAGAAGCAGAGACTCTGTGAGATAATCAAAGTTCGTTGTTCTAAGTTGCTCAGTTTTGGTCTAATGTGTTATGCAGCAACAGATAACTAATATGCAGAGAAAGAGAAACAAATGCATTCGTTTTATTATTGCAATTTTTTCCAGTACTTTTTATTTTCTTTCTCACAATGAACAACTATCCTTCATTCACCCAAATATTCTATTTAAAAGCCAATAATACAACATTTGTTGAATCACCTGGTTCTGCAAGGTTGAGATCCTCTAGTCTTATGTGCCAGGAATCGACTCCAGTGTCCCCACCCAAACCCTGGGGAATGGGAGCAGAAGCCAGAGGAGGAGCCCATATCTGAGCCCCAGGTATTCCACCTGCACCTCGCCTGTCGGACCAGCTTGGTAGGTTGAGAGTCCACTGAGGCACTAGCAAGGAGGTGGCCGGGACAGACGGGGCTGCCTCTATGGGCCTCGCCAGCTCCAGCCCAGATTCAACTGAAGTCCTCAGGCAACAGGCAGCACAGCTCCTACCCCAGGCCTCTCAGGGCTGCCAAGAACATGAGCTCTGGATGCCAGGCTGTGTTTCAGACCCTGTTCACACTCTGTTTGTCCATGGGCCCAGAACTTGTGTTGTTTTGCTTTTGGGTCCTCCATCCATCCTCTCTGCCTAGATAAATCTCTCATATTTCAATACCCTGCTAAGATGTCACCTCCTCCAAGAAGCTTTTACTGAGTTGAGATCCCCCCAGCTCTCTGATCTGGCAATGTTTTGTGCACACCTCCCTGCACTGTAGTACCTTAACTTGGAGACTGTGGACCCTGGGATGACCTTAAGGTTAGGGACGTATAAGTTTGTCTCTCAGCACCTTGCATAATGCTTGACACATAATGGAAACACAATGAGTATATAATGTGGAAACTATTTCTCCACCCTGGAATATTCTCTCCCTCTTCTCCACCCATCTAAACAGGCCCACCCTTAAGGGAGCAGCTTAAATTCCACCCCATTCTTGAAGGTTTCTCCAGCCTGAATTTGTTGCTTCCTCATTTGTAGAATGACAGAACTCAGAAGAGCTTTAGCCAGGATGAGCCGACAAAAGTCAGTAGTAAAAGGAGGAATATAAAATGCCTCCTTCAGGAATGTACGGGCTGGACATCATGACCATACAAGTGAAAAAGAGTTAGTGGCTTTGGATTTCTGCAATTTTGTTATAAATCACTGGTCTGGACCTGTATTTACAGAGATGCAATACTCACATCATGCGGAGTTTGTACAATTGCAGACACTGAGGAGCAGAGAATGTTCCAAGGTCAGGCTGTAGGGAAGAGGCTACAATGTGGGAGGTATTATCCTGAAAAAAGCAATGCACAGGGAGCCCTCTTCAAGCACTTAAAGGCTTTCCACTTAGAAGAATATGCTTGTTCTGTGTAATTCGAGAACACACAAGCAGAACCAATGGGTGCAAATTATGTGGAGGCTGTTTTTCCTATATGATCCCCATATTTTAACCCCAAAGACCACAAACATTGGTAGTGCTTCTTCAAGAGGTTGTGTGGTCCCTGACCCTGGAGGTGTTGAGGCAGAGCCTAATTAACCAATTTCTCAGGGATGCTATAGCCAGATTTCTCCAATTGGAGGGAGACTATGATTCCATGTCTATGAGATGGAGTTTCACTCTGTCGCCCAGGCTGGAGTACAGTGGTGCGATCTTGGCCCACTGCAACCTCTGCCTCCCAGGTTCAAGTGATTCTCCTGCCTCAGCCTCCTGAGTAGCTGGGCCTACAGGTGCATGCCACCATGTCTGGCTAATTTTTGTATTTTTAGTAGACACGAGGTTTCACCATGTTGGCCAGGCTGGTCTTGAGCTCCTGACCTCAAGTGATCTGCCTGCCTTGGCCTCCGAAAGTGTTGGGATACAGGCGTGAACCACCATGCCCGGCCTAAAGTCCTTTCAATTCTAAGATTTTTTTTGCCCAAGGAGCTTCTCTGACACTATTGTTTCCAACATGCCCTTGGCCCACAGCTTAGAGAGTCTGGTCTTCTTAATTATCCTTTCAAGTGTTTATGACTTAGTTCCTCAGCTAGACTATAAAACTACTTAACAACCGGGACTGTGTATTGAATGTCTTTGTCACACAGCAGTGTAAATGCTGGGTAAACACTCATTGGTTGCCTGACATGTAACTCATGCTTTAATTCTTCCTATAGAAGGGTGAGAGATTGGGAGAGTGGAAGAAGAATGATCACTGGCCTCAGAAAGCAGAAATCTGGTCCCATTTCTGCCCATCTTTTCTCATTTCTCATACTGTAGGCATCTGAGTCTTAGACCCACCTATCCTACTTCCTCAAGAAGTCCTTGGTGGAACTTTGCAAATGACCAAAGAGGAAGAATTACAATAAGGTTGTTAGTTTCCAGAGAACATTACACCTAAGCTTCTCCACCCTTGTGATGGAAGGATGGATGGATGGACGGATGGATGGATAGATGGATGGATGGATGGATGGATGGACAGAAGGACAGAAGGGTGGATGGATGGATGGATGGATGGATGGATGGATAGATGGATGGAAGAATGGACAGATGGGCAGATAGATGGACAGATGGGTGGCCGGGTGGGTAGATGGATGGATGAATTGAGTCAAGTAATGTCAATTAGAGACCTGAGTGTTCTTTCCTGTGTGCTCTGCTCACACTGCCATATTTCCCATGGCACATGATGGCTGCTCAGTCTCAGGGTGAATCTGAGGTCGGTATCTTTGCAGTTGGGTTTCCTTAGATGTTCTGTCCCATTAAGCCGGTGCCAACTAATTAAACCCACTGAAAAGCAGAGACTCCCTTCTCATCTTTCCAAACAGAGCCACACTCACAGTGCTATCAGCCCCTTCTCTTACTCTGGTTGTCTGGCCACAGCCTGGATTCAGCCATCAGAGTTCATTCTGTCCTTGGGTTTGCCAGACATACTCTCTCTTGCATTCACCAGCTCCTCAAGCCTAGGATGGAGCCTCGCGGGGCACCAAAGATGTCTGACCCCAGCACTGTTTATCTGGCTGCAAACCCACTAATAACATAGTCAATGACGGTAGGTACAGAGCAGGGGCCCCATACCTTGTTTCTGCCAAGGCTTTATGGATGACTCTCTCCCCCTTCAACAAATGCTCATTAATATTCCCACCATCTTATTATTCATACTGTATCAAAGACGTTGTGAAATCCCCAGGCTCTTCTTCCTTCATGTCCTGCAGCCAATTATAGAGATTGGTGCAGGCCTGACCCACCCTTACCAGAGAGTATAAACACAGTGCAATGCCCTGGAGAAATCAGTTGGAGTCTCCAGGGATAAGGGTTCCAGGCACCCAGGATCTGCAGGTCAGTGATGCACAGGCAGTATTCTCTCTCTCTTTTCTTTCTTTTCTGCTCTCTCCTGTCAATATCTCTGATAGGCCCTCTATCCCTTCACTCCTCCTGGCAAGCTGTCTAGGTAACAAGATATTCCCCTCATAGAACATGGTGGGACATCAAAAACATTTAGGAGCACATAAAGGGATTTGAGGAGAAGGAATAGGTTAAGCCAAATCGAGATTTTTTAACTACTTAGAACTACTGACTTTAGAAAGTCGTCTCAAAAGAAACCATCTGGGCCAGTGGTATTCAAACTGTGGTGGAAGCTTAAGAGTTGTTTTTTCTTTAATTTTTTAAAATTATTTATTTATTTATTTATTTATTTATTTATTTATTTATTTATTTATTTTTTGCTCCTTCGGAGCTCCTCAGTGTCTTCTTTGTAGGCAAGAGAAATACTAGCAGGTCTCCACTGCTTCCTGTGTCAGCAAAGCAGGTGTCCTTTATCCTTTATACAATCATTAGAATTCTGCATAAAATTGTATTGTGCAACTTAAAACAGTTTTGAAAGATAGCTTACTCAATCTTTCCATCCAATGATAATAAGTTGAAGGCCCAGGGATAAAAGGTGGCAAGATAAATTGGTAGCAGAGCTAGGTCTAGGACTCAGCCTTCCTAGTCAATGTCTGCTGTGTGTGTTTCTATGTCCTGGCCGTAAGGACCAGGGTATTTCAATTAGGGTGGTTGGAGAGAGCTTCAAGTGAGCTGTAAGCCATGCTTCATGACTTCAAGATCTTATTAACTTTTATAAGGGAAACGAATGTCTTTATGTACAACAATAAATAATACAGTAAAATTTAATAGGAGCTCAGAGTAGAGTTACAATAGTAAGGGAAAGATTCATTAAACTCTGACTCATGGAATTATAAATAGTTTGGCCTAGAAAGAACCTTCATAACCACATAATCTAATCCCATGAATTTGGCCTAGAAAGAACCTTCATAACCACATAATCTAATCCCATGAATTTGGCCTAGAAGGAACCTTCATAACCACATGATCTAATCCCATGAATTTATAGATGCTGAAACTGAGGGTTGGAGGTTAAAAGACATAACCCCGTATGTCTAAACTGTAACTCTGCACTGGTAATTAATTTGATAGAACTAGATACTGAACCCATCTATATTGATATCATCTCCAGTGATCTTAATATCAAAAGATCTGAATGGATGACAATGAGAGGGGGTGACTTTTGAGGCAGGGAGAACAATGGGACACCTGTGAGTGTCTCCACTGAGAAGATAAGAAAGGAATTATGTTGCCAGGAGGCGTGGTTTGGTGTCCATGGAGAAGTGAGACGCTATCACACAAGAAAATCAGCGTCAAATGGTAGCAAAATAGTCAATCACTGTAGATTCTAGAGCTGGGCAGGGATGTGGTGAAAAAAGCCTTTAGAACGTGGGTGCAGATTCCTCACATAGGTTGGAATGAATGAAAGGTAGAAAAACCAGGAACACAAGTACAGTAGTAATGGTGATTAAGAACACAAAGTTGTATTTTAAAGAAAGAACCTATAGGGACTTGATAAGTTAGACATTGAGTCAGGAGAAGTGGGAGATATTGTCAATGAGTCTCAGGTTTTGAATATCACTGGTGAGAAGAATATTATGACAATGAAACAAATGAAATTGGGAGGAATGTGTGGGCTGGGAGAAGATAATTAACTTAATCTTAAATATATTTGGCAGGATGTCCAAAGTGAGCTGTCCTGTA